TAATTTCTTGTTTAAATTTTTTTTATATTAATTTAAAATTCTTTCAAGTACATATTTATAAATTAAAACTCAATTTCTAATTAGTGAAAAGTAGTTTAACTAGTCATTATCTTGATGAAAAAAAAGATTAAACTTATTTTTTTTTGTCATAAACTTGTTTTGGTTGGCTAAAATTTATTATCTGCATTTTGTGATATGTATCTTTAGCAAAATTATAGTAATGATGCTTTAATTAATTATAGTATATTATGCACATTCTTAGTAGCTAGCTAATTATATTGAGAGCACCATTAGTCTCTAAGTTTAGCGATTATTTATTAGTTTAATTGATCTAAGTATTTAATATGAGCTGTTTAACTTTCATTTAGCATTCTTATATATATTAGTTTATATAATTATCATCTATTAAGAACATTTCTAATTACCTCTATTATATAATTTTTTTAAATTCATAAAAGTTAACAAATCAAAAAAAATTGTATACTAGATAAAAGCTAGCAAGCTTTAAATATAGTTATTAATTCTAATTAATAAGCATAATACTATTTAATAAATTTTATTTAAACAGTATTTATTATCATATATTTATTATATTAAAGGTTATAAAGTTATACCAATTTTTATTATAACCAAATAGTCATAAAAATCATATAGGTCATATTGGTCATATAAAGTCATTACCCATTCTTGCTATAATTTGTATAGGACTTAAATAAAAATTATATACAAAATAAAAGAAAAACTATATTTGTATATCTCTAGTATAAAACTAATTCTTAATATTTGGTTTGTTTTTCTGACAATATAAATGGTTTTAGATAACTTGTTTGTATGATAAGTCTATTATATGTTGTAGCAATATGTTTACTAAAAACATGTAATTGTACTTTGCTAGCTTTTTTAATGATAAATAGTAAATTCTAAACTTGTTAGCAGATAGTATATAAAATTACCTCTAAATAATAAGTGCTAATCCCATAGTAAGTAACAGTGTTCCAAATTGAGCTAGCTTAATTAGGCTTACTCAATATTCCTATTAGCTCATTAGAGCTTATTTAGTTTTTATACTATATAATATATAAAAATATCATTTATTTGTATAATTTATATGATATTCTTTATATAATTTATTCATCAACTCTTTCTGACAATCACTTGGACCAAATTTTCTGACAAAAAGAAATACTTATTTTCTATACTAGAGAGTAGTAACCTGTAGTGAAGTGACTTCAACAGGGCAGTTTTTATAAAAGTTAATCTTTCTCTACTATCGGGGACTCCTTTATATATTTGATATGCAAGCCAAAAGCATCGGTATACAAGATAACTAGCAGAAGATAGTGCTCTCATATATGAAATTTTGGTAGTTAGGTGGAGGTGATAAAGTCCAAGCCTATTGTCAACGAAGCTATCAGTTGCAAAACAACTGGGGAACAATAAAGAATAGGTTTCTTTTAAGCCACACTCTTTTTTTTTTGACCAAGTGGTATCTACTATCCTTTTTCTGCTTCCCTGCCTTTCTTCAACAAAAAGTGGGAATTTGGCTTACTCCCTCCAAAAGATCGGTATTGTTTATTTTCCAAATTTGGACGGACTAGTAGATTGCAACCACATGTTTGTTTATAGACAGATATGGTGCTACTACATGGGACTCAGTCTGGGAACTCCAATTATGGCTTTGATATGGGGCCTCAGACAACAGAGCCATCCGAAGTCAGTGGAAAGGTCAGAAAGTAAATTTTAATGTTAAGACAGAGCTTTACCTTTACAAGAGAGATATATAAATATTGTATTTGTTATATAATTTTTACTAACCTTGCATGGATTATAATAGTGCTTTTAGGGTCTTAGTTTTCTTTTCATGTTTTTTTTTTTTCGAAATCTGTGTTTATTTTTTCTTTTTGTTTGTTTTTCTTTTTTGGTCTTTTTCATATTTGTTTTTATTTTAAACTTTTCACCATTTTGTCTTGTGCTCCTTGAAAAGAAGAAAGAATTAGAAGAGAAAAGAGGTCCTGAGATAGGAGCTAAGCCCCAGCTAGACTATATCTTTAAATACAGCACATCGTATGTGGGGTATAGTGGCTAATATCAGTGTGATAACCAAAGTTGGGCATCTTTAAAAGACAGCCAGCTTTTAGTCTAATTACCTATTAGATAGCTTGGTCTTGTATTGAGCATTATACATTTAATAAAATTTTAGTATGCAGTTATTAAAGGAAAAAAAAAAAAAAAAAAACTTCAACAATACAAAATTTACAACTAGTACAAAGCTTTCAGGACTTAATTTTTTGGAATAGCTTTCAGGATATACTAACTTCCAATAAAGGAGGATCTGATGGTAAAATTTGCATACTTTCAATCATTGCTCTAAACTTTAAATACAATGTTCTTAAAAATGAATTAGGTATAAGTAACTGCATATATAGTCAGACCTCTCTAAGTGCACTCTCTATAAATGCACACCCTACGCTCATGTGCTGGCCCAAATATATACTTGACCTCTATAAATGCCCTTTTCTTATTATTCTCTATATGCACGTTATTAAAGTGTGGTCTCAAGAGTGTGCACTTATGGAGGTTTGACTGTAATATTAATAAAATAATCTAATATTAATATAAGATTTTATCTCAAAAAGTTGGAAATGACACTATTAATAAAGCCAGAAAACATGCACGGCTTTATGGTCCAGATGCACCACTATTGAATAAACCCAAAAGAACTGTTGAAAGACTTTCTGATATTCAAAAAGAACAGTTCACATTATTTTTTCAGGATAAAGATAATATTAAAATGAGTTTGTATAATATAGATAAAAAAACAGAATTACCAATTCTTTATTTACTTGATCAAAAAAGTGAATTATAGAATAAGTTTAGTGAATCCTATCTGAATGGTATGAAAAGAACTACATTTATAGTACGGCTTGCTGACTCAACAAACCTTAAATACCACAAAGATCTTGGCGGATTATGTATAATTTGCAATGATTATGAATATGAAACTTTTGAAAAATTATACTAACTGATTTGATAAATTAAAATTTTAAGGTTGATTAGCTTAATTATTATTATCATTATTATTTAATTCTTATATTACTATATTATTTGTCTACTAATCACTTTTATCAGAATGAAGCCTTAAAACGTCTTGAGAAACTAAAAAGACATATGAAAAGAGGTTATGAAAAAGAGTTAACAGTTAAAATGGATGGCTGTGTTAAACATGATCTCTGTATTTCTCACTGTCTACCTTATGCATTCGATGAATGCATCTATAGTTACAAAACAAGATGCCCCGATTGCGATCAACTATTTGATTTTGTGGAATTTATATATGAATTAGTACCTTCAAGTATTCATGAGCAAATTACAGAATCAAAAGAAAAATTGTAATATTACCTTTTGCATCAAACATGAAAGGTATACCTAAATGCTCAATTTAAAGCAACATTGGCTAAGCTCAACTTCGATGACACACTCTTTATTGCCCAAATCTGCACGTAAAACAAAACCTGAATTTTACAGAAAATGTAGTTGGACTCTGCATACAATTTTGGCTTTTACTAAAAAATGTAATACGGAGTTAGACATTAGAGCATACGATCACTGGTCAATAGATACTAAGCAGGATGCTTGGTTCACAGCGTCTGCATTTGAGATCGTATTCAAAATAATAGATAAAAAGCCAAAATAGTTTAAAGTAATATCTGACAATGGACCCCATTATCATAATTCTGAATTAATGGTCATAGTTGGATATTGGCACGAATGGCATAATGTCAAAGTTCGTGGTTGGTTATTTTTAGAGCCTGGGAAAGCAAAAACAATTGTTGATTCACATCATGCAGCAGTTAGTATCTTGTATTATGCATATTTTTAGATTAGAGTGTTGCTTATTTTAATTACAAAATCTTATACACTTACTACCATTCTAAGGTTACACATGCAATAAAGCGATATTTACGAATCGGGGCAATTTGAAGACAGGAGATGATATAATCAAGGTGGTTAAAAATCTATCTGGAACTGCTGTAGCAAACATAGAACCAGATTGTGATAGTAATGTAGAAAAAACTAAAATCAAAACCATTAAAGGTATTTCCAAACTATTCTATTGGAAATGGCCTGTCAAGGGTAAGTATAATGGATATATTAGTGCGTGTCAACTGCCCCATATTGGAGAATGGAATAATTTTACCCCAGCATATTTGAATAAACTTTGGGTCATTCCACCTTACCGACCAAAGCCAATTAAATCAGATCATACAATACTGGAATCTTTATAAACAATTTCAATAAACAACAACGAAGAAGAAATTGTAGCATATTCATATAATATTGATTTATAGTATTAAAAGTAGTTCTAATTTTGTAAAATTAAAAGGCAATATTAATATTGATCAAAACGAAAGAAGTGAACTTGAAAATGAAATGAATTATAGTAAGCAAACTATATATAATACAGTATTTATACTTTTTGACCTTTTACTAAAATATTCAAATTAATTTATTTAAATTCTTTAGTTGTAATATCAATCCCAAGGTAGGAATAAATCTTAATAGGAATACTTATCATTATAATTACTTAACTTACTGCTGACTTTTTAGTGCGATAGTCATAGGATTCTCATTAACTAAAGGATGGGTACTAAAAGGTAACCAAAAGTTGGGAATAGAGGTGGTGTTAGAATCAAAAAAATATAAAATTACTATTAGAGCACTTTTTTTTGAGCAGAAATCTGAAAAAGAATAGAATGAGTACAAGAAATATGTATGATGGGCTCCTGAATTATGCTGAGGCTGAAAATATAGAAAAGGAAGATGTTTTACAAATTCCCACAATACAATATTGAATAAACTCATATAATAGTACTTTTAAGCGAAGAGCAACAGAAAACGAAATTGAGTTTAGATCTAAAAAGTTCTAATAATACTTGTAATAAAAAATGTATTGATTAAATTATTAGATTTTTTGTAAAATTTCAATAAAAAATATATATTCAAACTTGAAGTTTTGTAATAATAAGCACATTGCTTATAATATTTACATTTATTTTTTCTATGTTCTTTGAATCAATGTAATATAAATAGTAACATTTTATGAATCCACTCTTGTTATTATTTTTCAAGTATAATATACCTTCAAAAAGCCTAGAAGTTAAAAAATCTATGTTTGTTGTAAAATAAACTAAAAACAGGGTATTATGAAATCAGTCACAAATCTAATAAGTATAGAGTTTTACTTAGTAAATGCTATATGCTTGCAAAGTAAAGCTCACCAAAAAAAAAGATCGATATTTGATAACTATATAATTAAAAGTATATAGTATCGCTCTACAATTTGTATCACTTTAATACCATATTTGTTAAAAACTTTTATGACTTTACTTATAATCCGAAAATTTCAATTTGGGCTTTATTCATATGTGATCTGTGCCACATTCTAATATAGAAAATTCTCCTTGCGAATTATCAATTAATAATAATAATTAATTAAGGTAGAGAATAAAATTTGCAAATTATATAGAGGTGTGGCGACTTAGTGTAGTGGTCTAGTCGTCACTCTCTCCAAGTGGCAAGTCTAGAGTTCAAATCCAACGGACGACGAATTTTGAAAAATAGCCTGTGTTACGGTTTACGGTTGTCGATTATCGGTTGAATCTAGAAATCTGTAATCTCGGTCATACCATCTAGTTATGGGAGCTTTGGCGCAATAAACCCGAGGAACCGGAATAA